ATGATTAGATTCGAACTAACTGCGAACATTACTTTTACAACTAAGAGTGCAGTTAAAATCCAAAGGTTAAAAGAAACGCCCAAAGTAAAAATAGGCTATAATTCACTAAACTAACAAGCAACTTAAAAATAAAATAATGAAATTTTATTGAAAATCATCAAATTTAATTTTGTCAAAACCCTATTTTATCATTTAAATATTTTTACTTTTACGTTTAAGAAATAAACATTTTAAATTTGATGTTTTTACCTAATTGTGTAAGCTTTGTAACATAAGATCTTTAAATTAAAAATACGCTATTTAGAATTGAAAGAATGAAGGGCAAAAAAGGAGGCTCCCGTCGCTCTTGTGGCTCCCTTGTTATCTCATTCTCGTTATCTTGACTACGGGAAGGCGATCTCTCAATTTCATCCTCTATTGCAGATATTTTACGTTTTCTCAATTTCAATCCTTGGGATGGCTCCTCTCGATGATCAGCAAAGGGTTAATTTCTTCTTCTTCTTCTATTCTTGATTACAACTTTTCTTGATGTTTTAATTTTCAATTTTTGGTACAATTTTTCAAAAAAAAAAAGATAATTTAACTAATGAGGCATGAATATAATTTCAAAAAGTCTTGTCAACTCTCTCATACCAAATGGTGTATAAATAGTTTATTTTTTAATATTTTCCTTTAAAAAACTTATGAGGCTCAACCTAGCTAGTGCTCCATTTTTAATACTTTTTTTCAGACTGAAAAAAAACATGATTTAAAATCCTGAACAAAAATTACTTTAATTCAAAAATACTTACAAATAATTGAAAAATTCATACACAGGGTGGCCTTTTCTGAAACCAATAGCAAGTGGTAGCAGTCTATCTTGTTAAAATGCTACTTGTTTGCATGGTAATTTAATTATTTCATTCGCTCTACAGAACATGGCGGCCGCCTCTCTAACACACAAACGGTTGTCTGCTATGTTTGTTTACGTTCGATCTTTTGAATATATTTGACAGATACTTTTTGAAAAGCACCAGAAGCAGCTTTTTCTTCTAAAACTATTGGTCTTGAATACAGATACAAAATCTAATGGAATGATATTTTTTATATTATATGCACTCTGCTAATTTTTACAAGACTCATTTTTATCGAGTATCGATCATTCACTTTATTATTTTTTACATTTTACTTTTTTTAAAAATATTTTTATGTGATCATTTGATTTTTATGAAGTTTTTTTAAAGTTATTTTTTAAGCACGTAGGCTATT